TAATAATAATATAATAATAATAACAATAATAATTAAAAAATAATAAATGAAGCATGGTGTAAGAGAGTGCATCATTGTCTTCTCTCTCCACTAATGAGACTGTTGACATTTGATGAGGGGTGTCTTATCTTATCTCCCCACTAATGAGTGTGTTGACATTTGATGAGGGGTGTCTTATCTTATCTCTCCACTAATGAGAGTGTTGACATTTGATGAAGGGCATCTTATCTTATCTCTCCACTAATGAGAGTTGACAATTGATGAGGGGTGTCTTATCTTATCTCTCCACTAATGAGAGTGGTGACATTTGATGAGGGTACACTGCCTTCCCTTTATTTGTTTTCACTTTACACATAAACATGTCTGTCTGTCTATCTGTCTGCTTCTCTCTTTCTCTGTGTCTCTGCCTATCTGCCTGCTTCTCTTTCTCTCTCTCTCTGTCTCAGAGAGAGCCACTAGTGAACCAACACGTTTCACACTCAATGCAGTAGTCACATCTGAGTCTGATACTTATTATTTGCCAGTCTGTATTTTTTGGGGTTATCCTAGGTAATTTACACTGTATAATTGTATTTATGTGTACCTGTGACAGACACACACATACAGCCAGAAAGACAGACAGACAGCCAGAGACACAGAGAGCCAGCCAGCTCCATTCCCTACTGCCCCCACTGCCTCCCCCCCCCTTACTGCCTATCCCCACCACTCAGACTGCTGGAGAGTGAGGTATTCCTTATGCTTGGCTTAGTTGCAAAGGTGCACTGAATTACCACTCCCACAATGCAATGCAGGTGCATAGATTTTTTTCCTACTGTGCACACTTACCACATAGACCCATTCTATCACACATAGGCTTATCAGCTCTCTCCTGCTCAATTTGAAGGCGCTAGAATTTATGTGTACTAGTACAGCAATAACTCTGGCATGTAAGCCATACTAGTACGTCGAAAACCCTTAAGGGGTTAAAAAAAACAAAGAAGGGAGGTAACCCACGAAAAGGACTTGGTACCTAAAGTAGTTGAGGAAGGGGATTCTCCTTCCAAACAATTGTAAACTACTCCATCCTCTGCCCTCCTCCCATCTCATCATTCATCATATATGTCTTCAATAAAGGTGTCATTTTATTCAATTCAATTCAATTCAAGTTTATTCTCTATAATGGTTACAATGTGGGGTTTACAGGTTTTGGGTATTTTGTGGTTTACATGTTATAAAATACTAATTACAGAGGGGGCCACTAGGACACCTAGCATGGCTAGGCATTTCGAGCAGACTTAGATTAATTCTTAACATTAAATGGTTACAGATTATATTAAGTGACTACATCATAATTTGTGAGTTTAGCAATGTGAATGCTTTTGTTTTGGCACAATACAAAGTGTCTATATTGGAGTATCATAGGCAAGCTTATGACTAGTTAAGATTTATTACTTTAAGATTAAGATTAGTATTTCTGGGTTTATAGTCAGTGGGTGAGTGAGTGTAATTTTGAACCACCAGGCGGTTATCATGTAGTCAGTTGTCGGGGTAGATCAGGGAGATAAGATGTTTTCTAACGGTAGTTTTGAAAGTGATGAATGTGTCTGCAGTTCTAGAGTTTACAGGTAGGGTGTTCCAGATTTTAGGTCCTTTGAAATACATTGATTTTTTTGTAAAGATTTAGTCGAACACAGGGGATGTCATAGAGATGTTTGTGTCTGGTGTTATGCCTGTGGATCCTGTCATAACTATCAAGAAAGCATTTTAGGTCAAGGTTAATATTGGAATTTAAGGTCCTGTAGATATAGATTGCACAGTAGTAAGTGTGGATGTTCTGAACAGGGAGTAAGTTTAAATCTATGAAGAGTGGGGGGGGGGGGGATTGCCAGGGATGGGATTTAGTGATTATTCTTACTGCGGCTTTTTGTTGGGTTATTATTGGCTTTAGGTGTGTTGCTGCAGTTGAACCCCAAGCACAGATAGCATAGGTGAGATATGGATATATAAGTGAATGGTACAGTGTGAGAAGGGCAGTTTGCGGTACGTAGTATCGTATCTTGGAGAGGATCCCCACCGTTTTGGATACTTTTTTTGTTATGTGTTGGATATGGGTGCTGAAATTTAGGTTGTTGTCGAGGTATAGGCCAAGGAATTTGCCCTCATTATGTCTGGCAATTAGAGTGTTGTCGATCTTAATGTTAAGTTGCGCAACACCTGCTCTGCTACCAAACATAATATAGTAGGTTTTGCCAGTGTTAAGTGTAAGTTTATTGGCTGTCATCCAAGTCAATATTTTGAGCAGCTCCTCGTTAACAATGGTGTTGAGGGTGGCAAGATTAGGGTGGGAGATGACATAAGTCGTGTCGTCAGCAAAGAGAATGGGTTTCAGGTGTTGGGACATGTTTGGAAGATCATTGATGTAAATGAGGAAGAGCAGGGGTCCAAGGACACTTCCCTGCAGAACTCCAGTATCAAGTGGCCATATTGATGAGGCTGTGTCTTTAATGGTGACATACTAATACCTATTAGAAAGGTAGGATTTAAAATATGTAAGCGCATGGCCTCTTATACCATAGTGGTCAAGTTTGTGGAGTAGGATGCCATGGTCTACTGTGTCAAACGCTTTTCTTAGGTCAATAAAAATTCCTAGTGGACATTCCTTATTTTCCAATGCTGTGTAAAGCAGGTCTAGCATTTTTATAATTGCATCATTAGTGCTTTTATTTTTCCTGAATCCAAATTGGCAGGGGTTGAGTATGTTTTGTGATGTTATAAATGAATATACGTAGTCTCCTGTGCACGAGTTTCTCGAGGATTTTGGATAGCGATGGTAAGTTTGATATTGGCCTATAGTTGTTTATGTCTGTAGGGTCACCAGCTTTATGTATTGGTGTAACCCTTGCTGTCTTGAGTAGTGTCGGGAAAGTGCTAGTTAAAAGTAATGTAATAGCATGCAAAAGGACATGGGCCGCTCGCTTGTACAATAATGGTGGGACGTGAGACAGATTCCCCGAGTTATTTTTAAGTGACTTTATGATCGCGGTGACTTCCGTGGGCTCAGTTGGTACAAGATAGAAGGAATTTGGGAAATTCCCATCTAGGTAGTCCCCAGCACGGGCATTGGTACGTGGGATTTTACTGGCGAGATTAGATCCAATGTTTGAGAAGAAGTCGTTTATCTTGTTAGCTGTATCAGTGGGATGCAGTGGTGTTTCATGAGGTTTAGTTAGAACAATATTCTTGTTTTTTTTCAGTTTGTGGGTCCCCAGAATCTGGGAAAGTGTTTTCCAGATCTTTTTTATATCTCCTCTTGTGTCAGTGAATCTGCTGGAGTAGTACAGTTGTTTGGCTTTCTTTATTAATTTGGTGTATTTATTCTGCATGTCTCACTGTTTTCTGTGTAGGGAAATGTATATTTCATGTAAAAAATGATTTTGCTTAATACTTTTGGGTGTCTGGAATGGATTAATTGGATTTCCATTACATATTTCTTATGGAGAAAATTAATTCGGATAACAACAGAATCGGTTAAAGACAAGCTCTCTGGAACAAATTAATGTCGTTAACTGAGGGTCCACTGTATATATAAAACAATCAATTCCAATATAAACTCTTATCTGGAACTCTTCTGTGACAGCTGCCACAGAACTTACAGGCATAAAACAAGACACGAATACCTCCTTGATATCCTTCATGTCTGACTCAACCTGTGTAAAAACTCAACGCACATAAAAGGCCCTAAAATCTGGCTGATTTAACATGCTTATGAATGACTGCTGGATATACAAGCTCCCACCTCTCAGAATCTCCTTTACACTCTATCCAACCATTCCTCACATGTTTGCTCTACCACCTTCCTTCCATCCTAGAGTTATAAACTTTCTTAATCATCCTGTCTTGCTCCATTCATTCTACATAACCAAACTATCTCAACAACCTTCAGCAAAACAGCAGTAAAAAGAGTGGAAAATGCTCAGTGAAAGAAAACTCCATACACAGGTTCAAAGATATAATAGGGCTTAAATACCCAAGTAAGTTGAAAGTTAAATGCCAGGATCAAGAGCTTGAGTTTGTACCTTGCAAATTCAAATACTGTCAATACAGTAATTATAAACAGATAATTACCCTTAATACCCTCACCTTGTCTTTTAATTTCTTGTCACATTGTCTGCATAATGTTCACACCAGAATGAAACATTTAAACTCCCACCCACCTCCTCCATGGTGCAACATTCTAAAGCCATGGTTCACATCATTCAAAAGCTTTAGCATCACTATGATACATTCCCAGCTGGATAATGAGTAAATATGATATGTGGCAACCAGAGAGTTTATCATAACTATTGTATTAAGTAAATATATTTCAATACCTCTCCATGGGGAAGCGGAATGGAATTCTTCCTCCATAAGCCATGCATGTCATAAGAGGTGACTAAAATGCCGGGAGCAAGGGACTAGTAACCCCTTCTCCTGTATACATTACTGTAGTAATAAGATAAACTTTTGTTTTTCTTTTTGGGACACCCTGCCTCAGTGGGATATGGCCGGTTTGTTGAAAGAATTATGATTTCAGTACTGCTTTTCCTATGTACTATAATAATAATAATAATATACAGTAATAATATCTTTATTTACTACAAGTACGTATACAAGGTATACAAGCCTAGCTGACATCAATGACATACTACTATACAGAAAGCCCCTTGTTATGCTGAGCATTTTGGGCGAATTAGGTCAGTGTCCCAGGATGCAACCCACACCCAGGTACCCATTTTACTGATGGGTAAACATAGACAACAGGTGTAAAGAAACACGTCCAATGTTTCTACCCTGGCTGGGAATCAAACCCAGACCCTCGCCGTGTGAAGTGAGAGCTTTTGCCACCACAACTACAGGCTACAATACTCTTCCTCATTTAAAGTAGATAAAGAAAAATTTCAAACAACAGCACCAAATACATTAAAAACTGATTAATTTTTCTCAATTTTTAGTCTATTCTGATTTAATTTCTTTAATCTTACCTTGCATTATGTGTTTGGGACTAACATTACTCTCCACAGGAAACAGCTGACTCACTAGTAACCTCTGAAACCTCAAGAGCAACTGAATGGAAGGGGATAACTGCCCTTGTATCCCCGTAGTAGCACCCACAAGGGCACCGCTTCTGTCATTGTGCCCATCTACCAACACAGCCGAAGATATCATAGACATGCTATCTGGGGCAATAGCCTGTAAACGAAGAAAAATAATTTTAGAAGCATTTACAAAATATCTTTTATCGTTGTTGGTTTTTAATCACAATGGCTATTTCCCTAGCAAAACAGGGTGACCCATAAATAGAAACTCATTCACCATCTTTCATTAAATAGCTGTCTTGTGTGGTCATTACAATTCATAAGACCACTATGATATACAAAAGCAAAATTTAATGTAACCACCAATCTGTGCACATTAGCCTAATATCACTATACATATATCTGGCCTATTAATACTAAATTTGTGGGTATTGTACCAGAAATTTTCCTTAAATAATCATGTTACTCTTGAATTACAGTGGAACCTTGGTTTTTGTGATTAATCCGTTCGAAAAATTCTGACGAAAACCAAATCGTAAGAAGACTGAAGCAATATTTCCCATAAGAAATAATGTAAATCCAATTAATCCGTTCCAGACACCCAAAAAATTCTGACGAAAACCAAATCATATGAAAACTGAAGCAATATTTCTCTTAAGAAATAATGTAAATCCAATTAATCCATTCCAGACACCCAAAAATATTAACAAAATATTAACAAAAAATACATTTTACAGAGAATAACTATAGTTTTACATACAGAAAACAATGAGAAATAAATGTGACTAATGAAATGGATAAATGAACATTTAACATAACTTTTATCTTTATTGAAGACTCTTGTTGGCGTATGGAAGACGGCAAGGAGGGGAGAGAGAGGAGAGGTTATTGTTTGAAAGGGGAATCCCCATCCATAAGGAATTCAGGTATCAAGGCCCTATCCGGGGTTACTTCCTTTCTTTGTCTCTTACTGGCACTAGGACCAGCTTGAGAGTCACTGGACTCCTGTCGCACAAAAAATCTGTCCAGAGAGGTCTGTTTCTGGCATCTCTAAGATTTGCCTAAAATTGGACAAGGCACTGTCACTGAACATGTTGCAGACATGGCTTGCAGCAGCTTTGTTAGAGTGATATTTCTCCACAAAACTTTGCAACTTATTCCACTTTGCACACATGTCCTTAATCACTGAAGAAGGCACAGTCTCCCCTCTTTCTTCCTACTCCTCTGAAGCAATTTCCTGAGCTGCAGTCTGACGCTGTTCCAGTTGAAGGTCTTGCAGCTCTTCAGTGGTTAGCTCTTCCCTGTGTTCATCCACCAACTCTTCCACATCCTGGCCACTCACATCCAACCTCATGGACTTCCCCAAAGACATAATAGATTCCACAGTTGGTGTAGGGTCATCAGGGTCAGCCTCAAATGCTTCAAAATCATGAACGCATGGGATGCTTAGTGTGGGCGCTTGATTCCGGGAAACGAGTGGCTGAGTCATGTGGGCAGGCGGACGAGTTTGGTATGGACCATTTTCAACTGTATGAAAACCAAGTAGATGTACTAAAACTGGGACAAAATTTCGACGAAAAAAGCTGTTGAAGACCGAATCGTACAAAAACTAGGGCATACGAAAATTGAGGTGTACTTTAAAATATCACACCTAATGTAAGTTTCAATGGAGATCAAACAGCAATGCTTAAACATATCTTTTGTTTTTAAACTCTTGCCAAGGAAGGGTGACCCAATCAAGAAAACACATTCACCATCATCACCTCAACTGCTGTAAAGTAAAAGGACACAAGTGCAACTAATGTGACATTTTATTGTGGAGGCTGCAACAGGATTTATGTAGGTAAAACAGCTAGAAACCTCGAAACCCGCCTCAATGAACACATTTATGCATGTAGGAATGATAACTTAAATGCCTCTGTACAACAGTGAAATTCCACCAATCATCTCATGAAATTCAGGGACACCCGATTAGTGATCAAAGAAACTAATTTCCGTTGACGCAAGTGCCTTGAATCAGCACTAATCGCTGTTTCTAATACAAGTAAACAAAACATAGGCAGCTTCACCCTCTCTAAAGTCTTAGCAAGAATCCTCCTGAAAACAGTAAACCTTACCGTTACATAGTAGTCTCTCCTGCTAATACTACACAAGCACATTACAGAGGATGAACACTAAAACTGGCCTTCTCTAATTCAGCCTCCAATAGAAATATTTGTCTAACCTATTTTTATGCCACCCAAATAATAGCTTTTATATCCTTTTACTCATCTGCAAGTTAACTGTTCTACCATATTGTATTACAGTGGACCCTCAGTTAACAATACCATCGGATAGCGATACGTTTTTGCGTCAAAATACTGGCTCGACTAATGATGAAAAACTCAGTTATGGACATTCGTCCAGAATGTGTCCGTGTGGCCTGAGCCGCCTGGCAACTCCAGTGTGGCTAGTGTGCCATTGTTTACAAGCCAATGCAGATGATTCCACGGGTACATGCGATACATTTTGTATTAATCCATTGTTTTTAGTGCTTTTAACTGTTAAATAAGCCACCATGAGCCCACAGAAACCTTCTAGTGCCAACCCTGTGGTAAAATGGGTGAGAAATACTACTGAATTGAAGAAAGAGATAATCGCAGAGTATGAAAGTGGAGTGCTTGCCTCTGAGCTGGCCAGGTTGTATAACAAACCCCAATCAACCATCGCTACTATCTTGGCCAACAAAAAGGCAATCAAGGTAGCTGTTGATGCGAAAGGTGCAAATGTGCTTACAAAACAGCGATCGCAAATACTCGAAGATGTGGAGAGATTGCTGTTGGTGTGGTTCAACGAGAAACAATTATCAGGAGATAGTGTTTCACAGTCAATTATATGTGAAAAGCCAAGGCAGCTGCATGATGATCTCATTAAGAAAATGCCTGGAACTAGTGCTCATATTGGTGAATTTAAGGCCAGCAAAGGTTGGTTTGAGAGATTTAAGGATCGTAGTGGCATACACAGTGTGATAAGGCATGGTGAGGCTGCCAGTTCTGACAAAAAAGTGGCTGAAAAATATGTGCAGGACTTTAAGAGGTGATGAAACAGACCTGTTTTGGAAGAAAATGCCAAACAGGACCTACATTACTCATGAGGAAAAGGCACTCCCAGGACTCAAGCCTATGAAAGAGAGGCTAACTCTCATGTTTTGTAGTAATGCTAGTGGGGATTGCAAAGTGAAGCCTTTACTGGTGTATCACTCTGAAACTCCCAGAGTGTTCAAGAAAAACAATGTCATCAAGCCTAATTTGTGTGTGATGTGGAGGGCAAACAGTAGGGCATAGGTCACTAGGGACATTTTCCACGAATGGTTCTATCAAGTGTTTGGCCCCAGTGTGAAAAAGTACCTCCTGGAAAATAAATTGGAACTCAAGTGCCTCCTAGTATTAGACAATGCTCCTGCTCATCCTCCAGACTTGCAAGAGTGAATTGTGGGGGAGTTTAGTTTCATAAAAGTCAAGTTTTTGCCTCCTAACACCACTCATCTCCTCCAGCCCATGGACCAGCAGGTCATTTCAAATTTCAAAAAACTGTACACCAAAGCAGTTTCAAAAGTGCTTTGAAGTGATGTCAGATGCTGAAATGACCCAAAGAGAGTTCTGGAAAGATCACCTCAGTATCCTCTTATAGGTAAGGCTTGGGAGGGAGTGACTTCCAGGACTTTGAACTCTGCTTGGAGAAAACTGTGGCCACAATGTGTACAAGAGAGGGATTTTGAAGGGTTTGGGGCTAACCCTGAGCAGCCTATACCAGCTGTGGAATCTATTGTGTCATTGGGGAAGTCCATGGGGTTGGAGGTTAGTGGTTAGGATGTGGAAGAGTTAGTGGGGAACAACAATGAAGAGCTAACCACTGATAAGCTGCAAGAGCATCTGCAACAGCAACAGACCACAGCTGAGGAAATTGCTTCAGAGGAGGGGAAAGAGAGATGGAAGAAGTTACCTTCTTTAACAATTAAGGACATTTGTACAATGTGGACAAAGGTGCAAGCCTTTATGGATGAACATCACCCTGACACTGCTGTTGCGAGCTGTGCTGGTGACTTTTACAATGACAATGTTGTGTCCCATTTTAGGGAAATCTTAAATACACACCAGAAACAGAGCCCTCTGGACAGATTTTTGGTGCAACAGGGGTCCAGTGACTCTCAAGCTGGTCCTAGTGGCATTAAAAAACAAAGAAGGGAGGTAACCCCAGAAAAGGACTTGCTACCTAAAGTCCTTATGGAAGGGGATTCCCCTTCCAAACAATAATACACCTCCATCCTCTCCCCTCCTCCCGTCTTATCACTAAGTCTTCAATAAAGGTAAGTATCATTTTATGAATTATTAATTTATGTATTTAACCTGCATGTCTCACTGTTTTCTGTGTAGGAAAATGTATATTTCATGTGAAAAAATTATTTTTTTTTAATACTTTTGGGTGTCTGAAACATATTAATTGGATTTCGATGGCACTCAATGGCACTCGATGTATGCAAAAGGAGGAGTAGATGTAAAATAGAAAGAGACAGGCACTCCCTTTACAACGTCCAGTATTGGGCCCCTATTAAACAAGATGGGTCCTACACAGATGAGAGCAAGGAAATGAGTGAGCTACTCAAGTCCCAATATGACTCAGTTTTTAGCAAGCCGCTAACCAGACTGAGAGTCGAAGATCAAAATGAATTTTTTATGAGAGAGCCACAGAATTTGATTAACACAAGCCTATCTGATGTTATCCTAATGCCAAATGACTTCAAACAGGCGATAAATGACATGCCCATGCACTCTGCCCCAGGGCCAGACTCATGGAACTCAGTGTTCATCAAGAACTGCAAGAAGCCCCTATCACGAGCTTTTACCATCCTATGGAGAGGGAGCATGGACATGGGGGTTGTCCAATAGTTACTAAAAACAACAGACATAGCCCCACTCCACAAACAGGGCAGTAAAGCAATAGCAAAGAACTACAGACCAATAGCACTAACATCCCATACCATAAAAGTCTTTAAAGGGTCCTAAGAAGCAAGATCGCCACCCATCTAGAAACCCATCAATTACACAACCCAGGGCAACATGGGTTTAGAACAGGTCGCTCCTGTCTGTCTCAACTATTGGATCACTACGACAAGGT